AGCCCCGCGCTCCCCGCCGGAGCCCGGTCCCCACTGGAGCGGGGGACACCTGGCTGGAGCCCCCCGCCCATTCCTCGCCTTTCCAGAGCGTGGGGCGGCCGCGGGGTCGCACCCCTGCACACGCGGGGCTTCCACATTCACCGACACGCGCACAGATTCGGGGAGCAGAAGCATCTGCAGATGCTCTATGCCGAAATAAGAGGGTCACCGCACGGAAAACTGTTTACCGGTCCCTCCCTTTTCGCCGTCATTTCAGGCACAAAACAGATTTAAAAAAATGGAATTTAAAGCCTTTCTTTAAACTAAACAAAAGGAGAGACAAAGCGTTTTCCAGGGCGAACGGAGCGAGGTTTGCAATCAGAGAGTGGGCTGATGTTTGGCTCTCAAATTCACTTATCCTCCCCATAATTACGATTTTCCTTGCATTAGGATTAAAGGCTGCATATAATATGCTTTCAACATTTATCTTATTAATTCGACAAAACGCAGCGTCTCCTAAAACGGAGATTGTCATAACATTAAAAATATGGGAGTCTAAAAATTTGAATCTCAATTCCTGCTTCAAATGTGGGGATTTTTTTTCCTATTCATCTTCCCTTTTTTTTGTTTGTCTTTTTTTTTTTGAGGCTGCAGCTCTCGCTGTGAGATATAAATTGTCCGAATGACTGTCGTTAGTAGGGAGAAAGAAAACCTACGCGTTATTTTTATTCGCGAGAATTTTAAGAGACACCACGGCAAATAAACGATCTCGAAATCGCTTCGGCATGATCTCAGCTACCGAAATTCCCCGTGACTGGAAAGGACCGCGTCGGCATTTCTGAGCATTTATCCAGCCTCGGATGCCACCCTAAAAGTGGATCCCAGGGAACGGCGTCCCTCGCCCTGCAGAACAGCAATGGGATGGACGCGAGCTCTTTCCTTTGGAGTTTCTGCTGCGAGGTGCTCCAGCCGGGAGCGCCCACCGCAAATCCGCAAAGCCCGACGCCCCGCAGAGTCCGGTGCCGGCGGCGCTCCCCCGGCCTCACTAAAAAGCCGCACTGGGATTTTTGGGGGACATGGCCCAGGTGCGCCGGGCCCGATCCAGCCCCAGCCGCGCGGCCAGCGGGTGCGTGTCACCCTGTGGGGCCGTGCGATTGCTGCCCGCCGCCTCCCGGCTGCCACACGCTCCTATCTCGGTACATCCATGCATTTTCTATCCGCTTCTTCTTCCATAAAACCTCTCGCGGAGAGCTAAGGGCGACCCGGGCTGAGGAGCTCCGGCCGCCTTCCCACAGACCCCGGCAGCCGGCAACCCCTCGCTGCTCCACGCTGCTCTCAGTCCCCCAAAAGCGCAGTCCCAGCCCCGACGAGCCCCTGGTAATGGCACCGGCACGGTACAACCGGCTCCCGGGCAAGGGGAGGCCCCGGGAGCAGCCGGGCAGGACGGGGACCTGGAAGGGGTCGGGCTGGCGAACCTCATTCCCACGGACACGCGGCATCCAGCCCCAGGGGGGCGGCCCAGGGTCCTCTGCTCCCCGGCTGGGGGGATGGCTGCAAGGGACAAGAGCACCTGCTCCTCAGCAGCGTCAGCCTTCTCTTTCCTCCCTGGGCTTCTCCCAGAAAGACGAGAGGAAAGGGGCCAAGGAGGCTGCTCAACCTGTGCTCAGAAACACTACTGCATCCCTTGGGAAATGCTTCCTGAGTTGTGACATGCATCAGGCCTACGGATGCGTGCTTACTCCTCTGAGGAGACACATACACAGCTGAGACTCAGCTCCCAGGTGACTGATATAAAGTTACCTGTAAAATAAAATCACTGAGAGAATACACAAGTTCCCAGAAGTGCATGAGCCCAGCCACACTCGCTCCCACCATGCCAGGGGACCATGGGGAGGAGGCATGAAGGGATGCCCAAAGTTGCCTTGCTGCCCTCTCTGCCCACTGCTGCCAGAAAAAGGGCCAGCTGTGGTCCCAGGGGGAGCCACACCAGGTGGAATGGAAAAGCCACTCGAAACCAAACGCAGAGCCACAAGCTTTCCTAGTGCCTGGAGAAATGCAGACAGAACGGTTCCCTTCCCCGGAGATAGACAGGCCTCTGTAGTGGAAATAAATCGGGGGCCTCAGCTAAATGACAAACCATCCCTTCTGCATGCCACTAGGCTCACAAACGGTGCCTTTTCTGGGGAAGCCCTATGCCAGGGTGCCAGCGGTGTCACCACCACGCTGCAGACCGGCATACGGCGTACAGAGCATTGTGCTTCTCTCACCAGTAATCCTGCCAAGCAGCACATGGATCCCACCGGGAATCCTCAGCCCCACAACCGGATGGATATGTCCCTACCACCAGGCCCTCACCAGGGCTGAGACACATCAGCAATGTCCTGTCCTGTTTCCAGCTCAGCTCCCAAACACACCTATGGTCCCTGTCCCTTCCTATTCCCTTCGACCCTTCAGCTGTACCTCACTGATGTGGTGCCTGGGACTCCCAGGTCAAGTCACTGCCATGCCACAAAACACAAATCCTTAAAAAGGGCCAGACATCAGCTTCACCTATGGCTCACCCCAAGGATTAAGTGCTCCTGCTCCCCAGGAACCCCAGTGAGACCCCATATACCTTCCCCACCTGTTTTCTCGTGATTCAGACACCACGGGCACCTTGGCTGTTTCTTCAGCCCTGATGATGCTCGAACTTCCCCTGTACTTCCTTCCGAGCAAGCGCAGAGTCTAGTGAGAAATATTAATTTGTGTATTCACCAAAGAGTCACAAAAATTTTTTTATAGCTGACCAAAACCCAGACCATTGAATATAATACAGGTGGCTGGTTAAATGGCTCATACATAGCCCCATATCACTGCTGACTTTCTGTCCCAAAATTATTTTCTCAGCTTTCTGCTTCTCCTCCTTACTTGGCCTGACAGCAGCAGCACCAAGGTTTAAAACCTGGAAAACTTTCACCTAGCTTCACCTTCCTTCAAATGTTTAACGGCCTGATAGAGGACATGATAGGCTACGAGGGACAAAAAAGGGAGAGAAAGGAAAGGGGGGAACCCCTGTATGACTGAAATCTGCTTCTACCTCCTGTACACCCTCTGGCCTTTCTGTCCCCGTATGCCACCACTAGCATCCCACACTGGGGCAGAGCCCACCCCACCGCATGGCCCCTGGTCATGCTTTGGCATGAGGCCAGGCAGAAGCCACAAGCTGATGGGGGACACACTGCAGTTGGGGGGTGTTGCAGAGGGCTGTCCCTGGGGGGACAGTCCCACAGCCCCCGGCCCAGCACTGCCCAGCATGGGGTGCAGTGGGGTCAGGCAGTGCTGGGCTCCCTTTCCTTCAGGAGAAGGCAAAGAGCTTGGCAAAGAGATGTGGCCTGGATGTCTCTCTGGTGGCATCACGGCCTCCGTGCTGTCGGGTCTATGAGGATGTCACTCACAACTCCCCACCAGACCCTGGGTGGCCGCTGTCCAAGTTACACATGGACAAGCCTTGGCAGGAGCTGGCTGCCCAAACTGATCCGACTGTCAGGTGGATGTTCCCCATCTGGGGATGGCGTTTTTCTGCGCTGTCTGAGGGCTGTAAAGGCCTCCGATGCTCCAGTGAGTGATAGTCCCTAAAGTTTGCAAAGGTTTGCTAAACCCTGGCGCAGAGGGGGTGGGGAGAGCTGTGAAAGGACAGACAGACGGGGCCGGGGGGAGGGAAAAAAGAAAGATGCTGAGGATTTCAGATCTGGCTCTGCAACAGCAACTTGACGTGGGGTGTGTGAAGGAGCCTGAAACTTAAAAAGATTTATTTTCTGTAGTCATAAATCTCATCCCGTTGTTCCTCTGACCAACCAAGCATGATAAAGTCCTTTTCCATAAAGTATTCAGTATTAAAGCCACAAAGCTCACCCAATCAGTAGCCATCTGCTTCTCCCATAACTGCTGCTCCAGAAGCAGGGAAAAGCAGCCAGAAGAGAAAGGGCACCACTGTTACGGCTCCAGGACAAATGAGGAGGCACTGAATAGCAGCCGAAACCTTTGGTTTGCCTTGTATATCTGTATCTATAGAGACAGAGGAAGAAAGGAAGCATTATATTGATACAACAATCGTAAAACAAAAAAAGGAAGAGGCATCTAAAGGGCAATACAGCGGGCATCAGAGGGCCCCGCGGGGAGGGATGCTCGCAGATTCGTACAGACCTTTAATTGCTTTGCAATTGAAAGATAAAGAGGCCGAGGGAAAAAACGGGGAGCATGGCAAAGCGACCTGCGTTACACGGTGCATCAGCGCCCGAGCTCACGCAGCCAGCGAGCCGGAGCGTTCCTGATCGGGGTACGATATCCCCGGGACCGACACCCCCGCGCCTCCCCCGGCCTCATCCCGGCCCGGCCACGCAGCGCTTAACTTGTTTTCCAGCCGGCTGGGAGGGAAGGACCCCCCCAACGCTCTCTCGGAGCTCCCCGTCATGAAGGACGCCTCCCGCAGCCTCCCTGGCCGCCAGGCTGCCCCCCCGGAGGGTGTTTGGCGGGACCCCTCCTCCAGCGCGGGGGACTCACCGCTCCCCCGTCGGCGCCGCTCCCGGCTGTACAGAAAAAAAGCAGCAACGGTGTCACCCCAAAAGGGACGCGGGGAGGGGGAGGCGGGAGGGTGATGGACCGGGGGCTGCAAGAGCCCCGGGGGGGTGCAGGAGCCCAGGGCGGGGAGCGCCCGGCGAAGGACGGCCCCCGCCCCTTCCTGCGCTCCCGCCCGCCGGGCAATTAGCGGATTAATGACCGAGTTGGCTGGTCCTCTGAGAGACGGGTGTTCGAACGGGGCTCCCACCGCACGGCCTGGGGCGTGGACATCGCCCCCAGCCCGCGGGGACACGGACAGGGACCCACGGACACCGGGCGGGATTAGCGGCGGAGGGACGGGATTAGCGGCCGCCCGCGCTGCTGCCGCTCTCCGGGATTACGCCGGGATTAGGAGGYGGCCCCGTCCCTGCTCCCCCGCCGGGCAGGGTGGGAGGGAGAGCCCCGGGAGCTCAGTTCGGGGTGCCCGGGGGGGCCGTGTCCCCCTGTCTCCACGCTCTACTCGGCGCATGCTGCTTCCCTCCGATGGAGGGCAGGAGAGGAAAGACGAAGCCCGGGATGCTGCCGACGGCGAGATGCAGGTGCCAGGCACCTGCCCGCAGCCATCCCGGCTCCCGAGAGGCACTGAGCCCCCTGCTCGGCCCCCCATCCCCCGGCACGGCAGGAGCCTAGAGAGACCAGCAGGAGCCAGAGCTAGAAGCACAGGGGACAAAAGAAAAAGGGTGGTGGGTTTTTCATTTAAGAACCCCTGGCACGTGAGGGAGAACAACACAAATAAGATTTATGCACCGATAAAACCAGGGGTGAGGAGTGAGAGACATGGATGTGCTTCCCTCCCTCCCGCAGGTTTGGTTTCTCTCGCAGAGCACGGGTGGGACTGAACACTGCGTTGTAGGCACAAGTCACTTCGTGGCTTTTCCCAAGCACCATCATGTCCAGCAGCCCTGTATTATGTCAAAAATCTGGCATGGCAGGCAGTGGCACATCTGTTAGGTGTGGATGACATTCATTAGCCAAGGTTCTCTGCTAAACGGCCTGCCAGAGCCTCAGCAGTGCTGCCCAATGCCAGTCACTCATCTGCTGCCAGCTCAAAGGCAATCCTGCTTCAGGAATGGCTTCTTTCCATGCTGGCAGGAGAAACAGAGGAAACAATGCATTTAGATGTTTGGGATGTGAGCGGGGTTGGACATGGGAGCAGCAAGCAGATGTAGCAGGAGAGGAGATGAAGTTGTGAAATGTCATTTAATAATTGCAGCACACGGGAGATGTGCTGGTGAGCCGAGGTTTGGGAGGGGAAAACGAGAACCCCTTTCCAAACCGCAGATCAGACAGTGGTGGATGCTTTTTGGAAAGGAAAGGTAATGAGGCTAATGCAGCAAATAACCTCGCTGTGCCCATGTGAAGGACACACACACCAGCCTGGGGAGACTAATGCCAGGGCAGCCAGAAAAACCACCCAGGCCAGGGGAAGGAGGTGTGCTGATCTGCTTGATGGTCAGCCTGGCTCAGGTGTCCTTCCCCTCTGGGGGTCTACCTGCTGCAGCCTGGACAGCTGCCCTGCTCGTGACGTAGTGGGCTCGGTGCTGGTCATGACAGCTTGGTTCACAGCCCAGAGGGGCAGCTGCAAACCTGGGGCAGGCGGGGCACTCACCACGCTCTTCTGAGAGTGATGTGGTAGCCAGAGGTGGAGGGAAGGAACACCTGTTTGGCACTGCTACGAACATCAATCTCTGGGAAGAGAGGCTCTATTTTCCTCTGCTCAAAGGCCCTGTGAAGGTCCTTGTTCCTACGAAGGAATTAAAACACCTTGAGATGAGATGGATGTAAAGATGTTAATCTTCCCCTCTTGTTACTTTAATAAATTTACAACCACCTAATGAGGTTTAAATTTGAGCCACTATTTGGTTTCCAGTGAACCTGTGAAGCAACCTCAAATAAGTGCTCAGTAAAAGCTCCCCTCAGCCCTGCCTTCCTTCAGCTTCCACTCCAACTTCTATTTCTGTTTACCTCCATTCACTTAAGTAGTGGTTCATAAAATGTAAGATGCTACCTACACATGCACGCAGTGTTTGCCTCTCAGATAATTCCTGTGACAGCCTCAGTATCTTAAATCTTCCACTACTTTTGCTCATGCTGTCAAAGACCACCAGCAGCTCGCAGTGCTCTTCCTGCTTCTTTCAGCCGGGCAGGGAATTACAGGTTTTTCCCCCAGCACTGGTCTCTCTGCGATTACCTGTCCTATTAAATCCCCACATATACCTTCCTGAAGCCCCCTAAGAGCCCTGCAGCCACTTGTCCCCCCCCCCGGCCAGCACACTGTTCCATGGTGGTGCCCATCTCCAACACCACACGTGCTCTGCCCAAGGCTGATGGGACACTCTTCCCACAGGCAGTGGCTCCCCCGCCATCCCCTGCCCAGCCATCTGCGGCACAGCTCAGCTGTGAGCCCTTCGCTTCTGCTCCCACCTCCCCAGGAAGTCGTTCTGCTCCGGCTGCATTCCGGGCTGAGCCTTATCCACCTTCTGTTTCTGCACTGGGTTTGTCTCTGTTCTGATTAGTTGGTTGGCCTCAATCAAGTCATGTCTGCAAATTATATTTCCCCAATTTCCTACTTTACGTGGTTTGACACTTGCTGTACCACACACACCAACACACTCCTGGCAGGGACTCTGTGAATCCCACAACCTTCTATCCTCAGACACTGGAACTGGGTGGCTTTAAGAGCAGAAACCAAATCAAGAGGCAGAGATGTGATGCTTCTCCCCCCTCTCCAAACATTATACCTTCACTTAAATACATGAGTAATCCCATTGGATCTACTCTGGTGCTTAAAGTTAAGCCTATTAAGTGTTCACGGGGCAGTGGTCTGCACACAGAGGAGCCAGAAGAGAGGGGAAAGGGGAAAGCAGGGCGCTGCTCCGGAGGGGAGACATGGTGGTGGCAAACACCTCCCTACTCTCCTTCCCCTCAGGGCCACCTCCTCCTTCGGCTGCTCCTGACAGCCCCGGCAGCAGGCTCCCTTCAGGGTTTGGCACTGCCACTGACATCAGCGATGTGAGGGCAGCAATGGTAAGGGCTGGCGGAATAGAGGGGAAAAACGTGCTTTAAAAGCTCCTGTCAACACAAAAGCCTGAATTAATTTTCTAATTCTGGGTTGGGCTTTGTGTTTACTGCATTGGAAACTTTGTTTCATTCCGTTTTCAAGGTGTTTCTCACGTGACTCATTGTATTCATTGTCACTATTTTCAGACAATGAAGCAGGAGAGAGCAGAGTTATTGCTGCTCCTATGAGGAGGGTTTTTGTAGGAAAGCACTCATGCCCGTGTTTCCTTTGCTCTCCAAGGATTTCAAGCATGTACTTAAATTTAAGCCCAAGTGCTTTTTGGAACAGGGAGCATCTCTTAGAATGGGGACTTGATTCAAAACCTGCATGTCCACAGAGCTCTGGCTCTTGACTCTTTGCTTCAAGCACTGAAAAACCTCCTGCCTCGGCTGCACAAAGCCATGTCCCATCCTTTCATGCATTTCTTGGCACGTGCACATTCTAATTCCCAACACCACCCTTTCTTCCCCTTTTCTTAGCTGGCTTTTCTCTGGGTGCAATGTATTATGTTTTCCTCTATGTACTACTCCATACTGCTTGCACAATGTTTTGCATGATCTAATATTCTTTGTTCAAAACTGCAAAAAAATCTAAATAAAGACTATAGCGTGTCGCATCAGTATAGGCATCAGCTAACGTTTTCCACGGCATATGGTACTTCAGAAGCCATATGTACCACTGTTTAGTGATTCTGGCAAAGAGGCACAGAATAGTGAAATCCAACTGCCAGGATTTCTGAAAACAAATATGTAAATGCTCCAGTGCTTTTGTTATTCATAACATACCTCTAACACAGCACATACAATATGCTGTTCATTCTGTAACGAGTATACTACTAAACTATATTTGCTTCAGTTCTCATTTTAAAAGATTTTTTTTTTCTTCTGTATATGATTCTGCCATCCTCTCTATCAAAATCAATTTAAGTTGCAATTTAGAAAAGGCATTTTGTCTATTTTCAAGGATACACTTTTGGGGTGACTGTGTACCTACAAAACAGTCTCACATCAGAACAAAGACAGACCTTATCTCAGCAGCCTGAGAGTGCCCATTCTAACTAGTGGAATGAAAGCAAGGAAGGGAAGTGCATTTAACCAGATCAGTTGTGCAGAGTGAAGCCTGTTCGGCCAGGAATAACCTCCTGGGGAACACGGGTGGGTTGGCCCCGCTCACAGGCTGATGCAAATCAAGCAGGCTGACAAAGCTTTTGGGAACAGGCCCTAGGAAACAATAGTTGTGGAGGAAACAGATGATTTCAGACACGTGGTCCAAGGTGGACAGCAGATGCCAAACTCTGACCTGGGCTGGGATCAGTCCCAGTGAGCCAAGGCTCTGCCAGTGGCCAGCGACAACAGATTTGGTCCGTGGCTGGGGGCTTGTCCCCAGAGAGGCCGGCAGCACTGAGGCCAGAGTGTCAGGGCAGTGCACAGAGCTCACATGCAGCACTCTGCACCACTAAGGCTTCAGACCCCCCTTGAGAAGGCAGGAGCCCTCCTTCCAGAGCCAGCACCGGCACGTAAACAGGAATCAACACCCAATCCCATTAACCATCTCTGGCAGCGCTACTCCGGGTGCTCCTCTCATCCGCAGAGAGCCTGTCATCTCCGCCTGGGATCTTGCTGCGATGAAGGATTTCAAAATGTTGCTGTTTAACATTCAGCCTTGCCATTCACAACAAACATTTTAACATTCCCTGTTGCCACCATTGCCTCTGTCTTTCGGTTTATCAGTGTACAAGGAGACTGAAATTCTGGGAGTGATCAAACATGTTCACGAGTTGCTCTGCAGCTCCCTCCCACCTTGGAAGTGGTACTGTTGCACATCACCAGGGCCAGTGCTCAGCATCCCATGGCTTTGAGTGACACCAAAAAAACAGGCAAGCCTCAGGAGGAAAGGACAAATAGGAATGCCTCCGAGAAACATTTGCATTTTCAGTCTATTGCTTTTGTAGTTGACACTGTCAAAACCAGCAAACCCATGACTTCCTGAACACCTTCCTGGCAAAAACCTCTACAAGGACCTGAAAAAATTCAGCCATGTCCAGATATGACAGCATTATTCAAGACACACAGATGCCTTTTTCCCAAGAGATCAAGGACTGCTGCTCCTTTCTTTGCCAGTCTTACATTGCAGCATCCCATTTCAGCAAGCACAACCTCCCTCATGGGCATCTTGTTCCCAGCACAGCCTCTGCTTGACTTTCTACCTGTGCACATCAGACCTGCTCATTACTTCCTATCTCCTGCCAGCCCCCACTGCAAACCATCTGGGTGCTCAAGTACCTCCTTTTTGGTAGATTTTTCCTTCTGCAACAGGAACTGGGATCCCACTTTGCTCCTCTGAAGCTACAGAAATACTCTGTTAAAAAGCTTAAGCCAGAGCTCTGCATGCAGACAGGTCTTTCATATAGAAACAATTGGGGTTTTTTCTATTCTATTTCACAAAAGAAAACCTTAAAATAAGCCTTTATGTTTTCCTACTTTCACAGGTCCTTCAGCCAGAGCAGTTTCTTCCTATTCTGTTCTAGCCAGCAGGTGATAAAGAGTTGCCATAAGAAATGTTGGCTTTGAGTCCAAGTGCCAGGATTAGAAAAAGAGACAATTAGAAAGTGAAAAGTGGCAAAAAGCTCCTAAGAAGCCAAAAATAAAAGAACAAACAAACATACAATCTGGCTATCAAAAAAAGCCACATTTTTCCCTTACTGCAGTAAAAATCAATGCTACAGCAATCACGGAGTATTTTGAAAGATAAGAAGTCATGGGGAGAGGGAAAAACAGTCCAACAGGGTCAAAAAGCTGGGGACAGCCCTGGGAAAACCACCTGATGGGGCTGACAAAGGAGGGGACAGGGAAAGCCAAATGCCTCTCACTGTGCTGACAGGACATTGCACTGATCCTGCAGCCACAGGCTAAGACAAACTACCCCGAGGGAAGGGAGCCAAAAAAAGGGCCCGTTGATTGAGCAGGTTCATGTGCACCGGCGTTTGTGGCAGAGCAAAGGTCAGTCTTGTATTACCTCTTGTGAATCCCTCTTGAACGAGCAGGCTGGGGATTTAATGGGCTAAGGACCAAGATTTATCGACATACCAGGGATTGCTGGCCCTAACTTTTAACCTGCTGGCAGAGGTGGGGGGGGGTGTTTCATTAAGTGGGGGCTATACATGGAGTAGTTGCTGGCTCAGGCCAAGAGTAAATGTGATCTCCTCCCACAGAACTTGCCACTGTGTTAGAGACACCAGACTATTTTCTCTCAGCACAAAAGTCAGCAGAAAGCCCTCACCTGGAACTGTTGGAGCAGCTGAGGGCACAGAGGGGATGGTGAGGGGAAAGCTGGAAGGGGTACCGTTGTACTTCTGCATTGCTCATCACATCTGTGAGCTCTAGATCAGCAGAGAAAACCCAAACCCACGCTAATGAATGCAGCAGGTACTCCTTCTCTCCATAGGCACCCCCTCTCTGGAGCCATGAACACCCACCACCCCTGATAGGACAGACCCCTCTCCAGGGCCATGCACAGCTCCCATCTGCAGTCTCCCCATGCCACCACAAAATCTGGCCTGTTTTAAGGGAGAGCAGTGCTCATGTGGGATATAACACCCCCGATAGGCTCATTCCTCTCCTAAACCCCACCCTTTTCTTGCACAGCAACCATGGCTTCAGGAGAGAGAACAACCTGAGCAGCTCTATATTTAGAATAACACATCCTTACACCTCTCCTGCTACCTATTTTCATTGAGGTCCACACCTCTGCACCCTGGTCCCTCCACCTGGAGCATCACCTCTGGCTGCCTGTACATGAGCTGCTGCATTATTTTTCCCCTGTTCTTCCTGGGATGTTTCTATGGACCCTGCTGCATCCGTCACACTCTTATTTTACGAGATCCAGCTCCATTGTGAAAACCTCCCGAGCTTTCCCCAGACACTTAAAAAAAAAAAAAGCCCAAAAAACATGGACTATTTTTACATCCTGTTTTCACACTTAGGGCTCTCACGCATTCCACACTTATTCCTACCTTTTTCTTTTCCTGTTTCAAACTGAATTCCCAGTGGTGCTGGATGGGGGCACAGGGGCAGTAAATTCACTCTGTCCTCCTTGGGCAAAGCTCTCAGCTGCCCTCTGCTTCCCTCTTCTTTCTGTGGGGAGAGGCAAAGATTTCTCACCTGAGAGACACCATCCCCAGGAGCTTCTATCCCCCTTTGGGGCACTTACACATCTGAACCCCTTTCAGCACCTGGGCTGCAGCAAGAACAGCTGGGAGAGCCAGGAAACGACTGAGAGAGGGATTTCCAATATGTGCTCTTGTGGAAGGAGAGAATAATTGCTCTCCTGCAGCCTGTGCCAGCGCTTGTTCTTTGCCAGTTGGCAGAGGGTACTACTTCCCTTTCTGAGGAACCCTTAACATCCACCTTTCCCCCCAGGAAGGGGACCATAGAGGCTGGGGGGAGTCCTTCCAGGCAGCCAGGCATCTGCAAGGAGCTGCAGGCTTGGGAAAGAAGGAAGAACCCAGCAGAACCCAGCTTCTGCTTCACAAACTTCTTTTAGCTGAAGGGGAGCAGCCGCACATATCTCCTTACCTGAGGGTTCCCATGGGAACACAGAAGGGCCCTGTAACAGCAAATTTTGGAACAGGCATGTCTGCGAACAACTTCTGATATAATATTTGAGTCCTCAGATGTTCAGCCATTTGCACATACTGCACGAGGGCCTGATTTGCATAGGATTTGTATTTGTTGCTATTCACATTCGTAGGGGAACGCATACATTAGATTAATGTCATCACAGTTTATGGAGATCATCTGTGCCACAGTACCAGCTCCGGGCTCTGGCTGCATTCTGTGCCCTGTGGCACACAGCAACCCCTCCTGCCCTGCCAGGGCCACGAGAGCTGGCACCAGGCCTGGGCACGGCCACACTGGGCCCCAGGGTGGTCCTGCTGGGCTCTCCTCTGCAGGAGGCCCTGCTAGCTTTTCCTAACAGAGAAGTTGAAAGATCATCGTCAGAAGCAACTTGTTTTGGAAATATTGCTTAGCCCACGTTCCAAAGGTGAAATTAATTGAACTATTTGGAGTTATCCTCTTCTATTTGCTCGTATGATCTTACATCACACTCTCTGCTCACATCTTCAGTCCCTACATAGGGACATTCAGCTGTCGAACAGTCCAACTAGGTGGTCCCTTCCCATCTTGCATGAGCATCCCTCCCTTGGCAAAATGGGGTGGTTATTATTCCCTCTCTGGTTTTCCATGGCACCTGGGTGCTCTTGTCTGCTAGACAGCTGGAAGCTGTCACTAGAGATGCTGTTCTCACAGAAGCATTGCTGGGCTCAGTCAGTGTTTGTAAAGCAGATGGAACACCTCAGAAGAAAAGCACTGCAGAAACAAAAGCTCGTTTTCTGCTAGAGAATTTCTACTATTGGGCAGTGCTTCCGTCAGGTGACTTCATACCCCAGCGAGCCCACATGCCAGCACAGTCTAATGGTGATTTTGTTAACCTACTTCCACCACTGAGGCCCTGCAGCTCCACTTCCCAAGGCTGGCCACTGGGCCTTTTTCCATCTCTGCGCTCCCAAATTGGACGGCACAGAGAGCACCTGGGAGCAGCGGCGATGGGGGCTCACACCCCGCTCTGGCCCTGGCACCCGGGATTTCCTGGTGGACAGACCTCTGCTCCATCCTCAAGGAGCCACACACGCCTCTTATCCTGGCATTCACTTCTGAGTCCCTCCTTGTGTGCATGATCAGTTGGATTTCCTGCAAAATCTGTCTCAATCTTGATGATGCAACCAAGAGGAAGTGGGTAGCACAAAGGAAGGGCACACATCTCCAAGTCTGTGATGACCTCACACTTACCCTGGTAACAGGCCAAGTAACACCTTTTGGCAGCTGCTTAGAGCCCCGCTATCTGGGGCATGTGCTGCCAAGCCCATTCTCCAGCTACGTGTACAATCCAGCTGCTCTAATGGCTCCCTACCCAGGCACAATTCTCCCACCTCGCAGCACAGGTGCCATCCCACTGCATCCCACGAAGCTGTTGTGGCATGGATAGCTCACCTAAGAGAAAGGCATGCACCATTCTAACATGGGTTACTATGCACAATTTCAATATATGGCTCTTAGAAGCAAAGTCTTGAAAACTCCTTTCAGTATTTGAGAGCTTTACTCTTATTTTCCAATGGATTTAAGCACTAAGAAATCTAGATGGAAACCTCCAAGTGATAATCAAACCCCTTAGATATTTCAGAAAATGTCCCCAAACGATGTACCTAACACCCTCATGACAAACAGCTCCCTATTTTTCTTTGTGATGGCTCCTACTTCCCACCAACATCTGTCACTGTGATTATGATCTCTAATGAGCTTCTAAATTATATTGCAGCATTTTGCCTTGATGAGCTACATTCAGTAACTTTCATTCTGCAAGACATGAAACACTTCCTACAAGATGCTGAATGAAAATTCCCTCAGCATAACAGCTGAGAAACTGATTTGTTTTTTTTTTCTTTTGCCTGTTTTGTTTGGGTTTTGGTTTTTGTTTTTGTTTTTGTTTTTGTTTTTCAGTGTTCTGTTTGGCGTTTTTAGTTACACATCTTATTTGAGGAAGCCTAGGAACTTTACAAATAAGATACAGAGCTGTGAGCCCTTCTACCTTACACTCAAAAAATCTCCAGCCAGAGATGAGGACTGTCTCTCACCACACAGTAGCAGAGACATCAAATGTTTCTGTAAGGCAGAACCGGGGGAAAAACCCAAGTCAAGGTCCCAGAGAAACTTCTCATTATTTTTATGTTGTTTTTCAGTTACAACTGAAGGCTAGTTTGGGTGATTTACCCAGATACTTGGGATGTTGTACAGACTCAGTTTCCCCATGCTGCCAGGATACAGAATATGCCCCACACCTCCTCATATGTATTTTTTCCCCCTGATGTTCACACTTAGTGAAACTGGAAAAGTGACTATTAACCAGCAAGGTTTGTTGCCTTGGCTGTGGTCACACATCCTTGTTAACAGATGCCCACCCTGACCGGCAATCTGTAGGTGACTTGGATCTCTCAGATCCATGTTCCTGTTTATTCCTGAGGCAACAGCAGCCCTGCTCAGCGCTCTCACTGAAACATATTCCTGACATGCACATTCAGTGTCACACCATGCAGTGATGTCACCTGCCCATCTGGAAAAGTGTTAGACTATACTTTCAGGGATCATTTCTGTGGTTCAAGACAAGGACGGAGCAGGCAGATGTTTGTGTGTACAGCTTCCCCTGGGGCAGGCAGCAAGGGGCTGGCTCCCTGCTGGTGACTCATCTACGCCTTTCCCTGCCACTCATCCAGGGTTTGTGACATGGCTCATGAGAGTTGTGATCAGTACAGTTCAATTTATAGGACAGGATCTATGGGGGTTATTCCTTATTTTCTGCAGATAAGGACAGGCAGTGTTGATGAGCAGTTGCCACATTTCCAGCTCAGAGTAGCTGTGCAGATGGGACAGCACAGGATTGGTAGGGAGCTGCTGAGGGGCTTGTGCACACTTGTCTGTGCCACCAGGTGAGTTGCCCAAGTGAGCACACACTGACTCATAATCGTCTCCGACTCAGGAAATGAATTTGTTGGGGAATTAAACCAAGTCTTATTCGCACATCCTCAGCAGGGACTGAAGCCCCTCCCTGTTCTAAGTGCCTCACTACATATGTCTTGTGCTATGGTACCATGGTACCACAAGCTATTGTGCTTCTGCTTTAACTTTGCTGAACAAAACATTTCCTGTACAAAGTCTTTTTTACAGCCAAGAGACCACAAGAATTCAAGTCGAACACTAAAATACTGCCCCATGGGGATGACAGTTTAGTACCACAGCTCTTTTTCTGTGACTATTACTGTATGTCAGTTGTACATGTTGCCACAAAGCAAGGCCAAATATGCCACCTTCTACACGCATATAAGCTGATCCATGAAAACATGAAGCCCTTACCAAGCCGCTTCACCTGCTCATCCCTGGGTGAAGGGACGTGACCCTTCCTACCTTTACAGGCTATTGCATTTGCTGCTCTGCCAACACCGCTGCTGGAAACACAGCCTGCAATCCCGACAACACTGCTCCACCTCCAGCCACCCTACCTGCCCAGACACAGGAAGAGAAAAGGATAACCTTTTGGATGACAGACAGTAAGACATGAGTACAGCTCACCATATAGTGCAAGTTAAACTTCTTAAGTGTGGAGAAATTGAGGAAAAAATAATTCAGTCATGCAGATGTAAACACCAGTCAGATAAGATACATCCCAGATACCTCACTCCCATCTGAGGGCCAGCACAGTCACACTGATGTACAGAAGCATTTGTCATCCAGGCAGCTGGGGGAGCAGCTCACACGAACAGGGCAAGTGAGGCTGACGTACACGGAGTCACCGGCAGGGCTCAGCTGGTAAATAATCAGGCATGGCCCTGACTCAGCCAGCAAACACTCCCACACGCACCCTTCCTGCCCTGCAGTCTGACAAGGAGCAGAACCAGGAGCTGACTGCAATAAAATCTCAACCTACCTGCTAAATGTGGTGTTTCACTGAGCACATCCTCTGGAAGGTCTGGCTGGAGTTTGCAGGTCGGTGTACAAGTCTTCAGTAACCTGACGTTACACAAGGCAGCGGAACACAGGACTGCAGCCGAGTGCAAGATCTGCATGAAAGAAGGGAAATCCCCCAGTGAGGTTGGGAAGTACCTCTGATGATCCTGCCTCCTGCTCGAAGCATGATCAACACCAAGTCCAGGCCAAAGTTCAGGGCTCTTACTAGTCAGGCCTTAAAACCCCTTGTGGGAGCCAACTGCACCTCTCTGGGCTGCCCTGCCCAGTGCTCAGCTCTGGCTTTGTGGTAACAAAGTTCCCCTGCATTCTGCTGCTCCTCCTCCCAGCCTCAGGCATGCAGCCAGCCCATCACCTGTCCCTGAGGATCTCTGTACCTACAGAGGACAATCCCCCAGAGAGCCCATATCTGTCCCCCTCAGTGCTGGCATGGCATCCTGGACCAGCAAGGACACTCCGAGGCTCTGCCCCTCCTATGCTGGCCATGCCACAAGAACCTCTGAGCTCTTTGAGCCCTTCCAAGGGCTCTCCTGCCCACATCACCCTGCCCTGCATGCCCAACACCTGGAGCCTCGCTCCACAGTGCTCCTTCCCTCACTTGCTACCAAAAAGCAGAGACAGAGCCCTTCCCCAACTTCCAGGTGCCACAAGCTGCCACCCAGCCCCACTCTGGAGCCTCCACCTCTTCTCATAGCAGCACCACCTCCAGCCAGCCCTCCTCTCCTGTGTCCTGGCTCTTACCTGCAGGCAGGTCATGATAGAAGCTCCACCAAAGGTCTGACATCTCCTCATCTGCCCCTGTTGGTGCTACACAGTCCCAACCCCTTCTTCAGCTCTTTCCTCCACAGAGCTCCACCAGGCCAGACTCCAGTCCCATATCTTCCTCCTGACAGCACCTGCTTCCCCCAGGCATATGGAGAACCAGGTAACAACTAGCTACCAAGCTCCCATCGCACATCCCTGATGTCCTCGGAACAGTATTTCTACCTCTTGCTGCTCTGCAAACCTCCACACTCTGTGCTGAGCTCCCACGCGCGACCCTCTCCCACCAGCAGCAGCATGCTGCCCAGGTGATCCCCAGGAAAAAAGAGGGGAGCCTCCAGGTACAGCCCTCATAAACAGAGACCTACATTTAGGGAACAACAAACAGCTGTTGGCAGCTGCAGGTGGGCCCAAAAGCAACCTAGAGAACTGATCCTCACCTAAAGAAAGCAGAACCTGCAGGTTCCAACTAAAGTAAATGCTCAACCGGCAAACTCCAAAACTGGGAAACCCCTCAAATCATGGGTAGAGAAAAAAAAAGAGGAAAAAAGGGGAAGAAAAATATAAATAAAGTGTCAAAAACCATGGAAAGGAGTGGTGGAAAATTGCTGAAAGAAGCACCAGTAGTAATGCCAGCAAAGAAATCTCCCTGGCGAAAGAACACGGAGGAGTAGGTTTTTACGCCGAGTCCAAAATTCCTCCCCCCAAAAACAAACAAGTTCTCTAAGTGCTGGTGTTTACTGAGCACCCATATCCCTCCCAGAATGTCTCCCCAGCCCATACCTCCTCATCAGCAGGCACGATAACCTGCAGGAGGTAAAGCAAGCCAAGGAACAGACCCAAATCCCAGAGACACTTCTGGTTGGCCCTCAGTTGAACTGTGTTGGGTCAAAGCCTGGGCCAGCTGTTTGGGCACGCTGCTGCTGTGGGGCACATGGCTCTCCGGGACTGTCACTCGCCCAGCCTTGCACGCCGGAAGAACCTGGCACAGATGACTTCATGAAACCAAATTAGGGGTCATACACAAGAAAGGACATTGCCACAGCTCTGGTGTAATTAGGGCCCATCATCATCAAAGACAGGAAATTGGCACATCTGCTTTTTGGGCTGCTGACCCAACCGTGGCTCGGGCGTACTGTCCTGCTGCAGCCCGCTGCTCCTCTGTAAATATTGACCTAGTTGCCCCCTAACAGTAGTACAAGCAGTTGTTTTATCATTCATCCTCCCAGTTGCTCTTTCCTCGTTCTCCCCTGGTCCTGGGAGGACACAAGGGACTTCACAGCACAATGCCTTCTCTCTCCTCTGCAGCGGCAAAGGGGTCAGGCTGGATGGATAAACATCAGCCCCTTTTCACCCAGTGTGAGCACAAGTGACATTTCTGTCACCACAGGGGGGTTTGAGCCTGTTCCTCTGGAGTTAATGATAAAACTGTCACAAACTGGGTGGCTGTGGAATCATGACCTGTGCTTTTTTAAAAATTATTTTTCTCCATACGTGCCTCAGAAATGTGTTGCCCCTTTTCTGGGGGGCACTGCTCTGCAGGCAGAATTCCTGCCTGCTCTATTCCTCTGCCTCCTCTGGTTGGGCCATTGTTTCCTGACAAGACCAAAAAGGGTCACTGCAACTCTAGAATTGTGCTAAACTCCCAGCCCCGGTGATCCCTGGGTGCTGCTCTGAGCCAGCAGCAGCTCCTGGGCCAGAGTAGGACTTCCATGTTTTCTGTCCTGCTTTCTTTTGCTCTCCTGGGCCAAGAGGGATTTATTTTTATTCTGTGGTGGTTTGCGCCAGGGCAGGGCACCAGCCAGCAGAGAACCACACCGAAGAATAACGGATCCTGCTCCACCTCTGCTGAAACAGAAGTGAATCCCAGGGATCATCCTTGGCTCCTCAGGGCAGCCAATTGGCCACTGTGCACACAGCAGGGTCATTACTCTGTATTCCCACATTTATACCTTCCCTCATCCATACTGCTAGTCTTTATGTTTCCTAGTTTTCAGAGTTGAGGGCTTTTTCCCTCCCCCTGTGTTTTCATGTGTATTTTCAGTGGGTACTGAGAATGCTTCATGATCTTGGAAAAGAAGGGTTATTCAGGCATTCTGAGCTTGCATAATTCCCAAATTTGTCTGGACAGATAGTTTCCATCTGGGTGATGCATGCAACACCACAGGGAAATGAGAGTTCCTTTGTTACTTAATGCTGTCCTTTTTATTTATTCATTTCTACACTGCTTTACAGGATGAGCACAGACAGGAGGCTACAGCTGTAAAGGAAAAAGGATTTGTACCTAATCCTTCAGGAGGCAGCTCCCAAACAGGTCCTGCATGTTGTATGGGGTCCTTCTGGTTTCTCTATCTTTTTATAAAGCATGAGACTTCCATGTGTGGTTCATATCCTGTGAGGGGAGAAGAAAAATATTTTTCTGTGAGCTGCCCTAAGTCAAATTCTGTTTTAAGCTGGAATGGAAGGGTTCCCATCAGCATCACCTGACCTTGGGGTTGCACAGCTCAGGGCGTCTGGAAGTGCTGGCTGGTGCCAGTGCTGTGGAGCAGGACCTCCAGCTCCCCCCTTTCATGCTGCTCCTGGAGCATTTGGTAGAACAGCAATCCCGGACCTTAGTCAGAAAGGAGATTTAATTAATCAGCACTGCAGCCGCACATACAGACACACCCAGGTTTCATTTTTCCCAGACAAAATTTTGGCAATTGTCGAGCATCCTGCAGAAAGCAGGCTGGCTCACAGCTGTTGAGCAGAGGTATCCTGGACCAGAACTGGATATATCAAGCAACAAAGCCTTCCTGACCCTCTGTATTGTATGGAAAAGGCAGCCTGTGTGGTTGCCGAGCTGCTGTTTGACTCTGATCCTCAGCACAGCAATGAGGATTTCCTCCCCCCAAACTCCACCTTTCTGCTGCAGCATTCCCAGGGACCCAAGGCTGGGCCAGGCTCACAGCCAGCTTACACTGAGGGTGACTTTTTGCTCCGACTGCTCACTCCTGAAACACACCGAGTTCAGTTTGGCACTCACACAGCCTGCCTGAGGTCTTCCCGACTGGCTTGGGCCAAAAAAAAGGTGGGAGTGGGTGGATGTTAAATGACAACATGTGTGGAGATCATCTGCAAATGCTGGAGACAAAGGAGAGAACTGTATAACCCCAAAGGTGCTGTAAGCTGTTCTGTTTACTACTTTCTCTGCAGTAAATCTTGGCAGTGTACTTGTGTTCATCTGCACATCGACCTTTCATGTGAAAACTTCTGCTTCTAGTGCTGGGTTACTTTGAAGCTGTGTTTATTTAAGGGTTCTGTTTTAAATGACCAAGGATGGTTACCCCATGGTCCCTCTGTTTTCCCTGCTGTCCCAGCCACCAGGGAATACTACAGCACAAGAAACCAGTGTAAAGGAGGTCCTGTAAGCTCCACTCCAGACCAACAGGTCAAGGAGCGAGGGCCACCTGTTGCTTCTCCAGATGTGGAACCAACATCCAGAGGCAGCAGGAGACTTAGTGGCAGAGGGCTGCAGCCAGCCTGGTTCCCTCCATGCAGTCAAGAGCACGAGCAGTCTCCTCCTGCTGCTGCAACAAGATCTTTGTCTCAGTGCTGGCAAGCTGCTAATGCCCCATCCAGCTCCTTGGATATCAGGAAGATATCAGCTCAGCTCCAGGAGGCAGCTTTCCTGAGGTTTTGTGTGCACACAGTGAGAAACGCCCATCCCACTGGGGCTGGGCACCCTGGGCCAAGGTTTACGAAGCACTGGGATGCTGGAGGAGGCTGGGACAGAGCCAAGCATCAGCTAATGAGTTCTAGGAACCGGGAAAGGAGGCTCTGGGCCCGTGTGCGAATGAAACCAAACGCAAGCAAATAGCCACGATCCATTGCCCTGTACCTCCTCTGTGCCTATCTCCCTCTCATCCAGCCATTCCAGCAAACAGGCATGATTTATCTGCTACTTCAGCAGAAACCACAGCCTAAAAGAGGAATTCATACACTTGGAAACAAGAAAAGAGCAAACTGGCAGGAGTGGCTCATTCCAACCAGTGGGTCACATGTGCCTGAAGCAAGATTTCCAACATCTGGATAACGTGACACATACTCCCAGACAAGGCGAGTGCTCTCAGGGCTTGGGGAGGACTCATGCAGCTCAGAAAGCTGGAGTGCAGCTGTTTTTGGGAAGCTCAGCAAGCCTACTCTTCTGTCTCACGTGCCTTTGCAAAGAGGGAGAGGTGGCACTGCACGGCCTTTCCTTTGGTTTGGTCTTTGGCAAAGCACAGGCTGCTCTGTCCTTAATCTTTCATGTTCTGTGCGTCCACAGGGACTGTAAAACAGTGCTTGCTTACCCTTTGGCCTCGCTGCTCTAAGACATTAAGAACTTCACGAGCCAGATTTCTGGCTGACATAAATCACTGTTGGTCCACGGACTTTCATGAAATTTCCAACTTGCATCACACAGATGCTTGGCTTGGTGTTCGGATCTGCACAGAGAAGGCACTCTGACATGGACATGTCAGGTCAGAGCACTGTGGCTTCAGGAAACCATCCAGAGAGGGCAGGAAATGGGATGAAATCGGATGAAAGGAAAGCTCTCTGGCAGGATGACTCTGACTTCCCCACCTCCTCTTGCGGAGGGAAGAACCTCGAGATCCTTTTTGGAGCAGACGATGTGTCTGATTCACCTCCATGGCCTATGGGAGACACATGATCCCTGTCAGGTCAGTTTCTGTTGTTGTTTTTGTTGAAAACCCCCACAATCCTGAGGTGTTTGTGCACACAACCCCCCCGACTCTCCATAACATTAAATTTACTTGGGGAATGCCGGCAGCGACACGAATCCAAGTGTCCCTCCGGGCGGGGGCACGGCCGGGCCCGCGCGCGGACGCCACGGCGAGCGGGGCGGCGCGAGCCCGCCCGCCCGTCCCCGCCCAGCGGCGCGAGGAGGGCGGCCGGGCGGCCCGGCGATCCGCGGCGGCGGCGCGGAGGCGGCCACTCCGGCGAGCGGCAGGACGGCAGCGCCCGCCTCCGCTCTCCGTCGCCCGCAGGCTCCATGGCGGGGGCCGTGCCCCTGCAGCTGCGTTGCTGCTGCTGCCGCTGCTGCGCCGTCCGCCGTCGCCGTGCCGGCCCGCGGGCGAGCCGTCGTGCCACGGAGCCTTCGATATGTACTTCGTCTTGGACAAGTAAGGGAGGAGAGAGAGAGAGGCGGGAGATGGGGATCGCCGCCATCGGGAGCGGGGGGCGGCGGCGGCGGCGCCGCTTTTGAGCGGGAGGGGGCGGCGCGCGGGCGGCCGTTGGCGTCTGAGGGCGCGCGCGGGCGGGGGGGGGCGCTGAGGGGCCGCGCGCGGCTGAGGGGCTCTGAGGGGGACTCTCCGAGAGGAGCTCGGCGGGAAGTTCGCGAAATCCCGCTGGACCTCGCTGCAAGCCGGCGGGTCGCGGATTCGGACGGGGGCGTCGGAAGTTCTCCCCGGAGGGGTGCTGGTGGCCGGACATTTTGGAGGAGCGAAAGCCGTAGCATCTGTCGCCTCTCTTCGTCCCGCGGCGGCCGCCGCCGGCCGGGCTTTTGTGGGCAAGTTCGACGGCCGCGATCGCCCTCAGGGAGGGGCGGGGGGGAGAGGAGGGCCGGGGCTGCCTCACGGCGGGGACCGCGACAAATCGCGACAAACTTACCGGCGCCTGCCGCCCCGAGCCGGGCTGGCCGCGACTCCAAGTGTTTGGAACAGCAAATACTGTTAAGTTTCTCCCTGAAATGTCACCCGAGATCAGGCCGCTTATGTGCGTGGTTTTCCCTTTCAGGTCTGGGAGCGTGGCAACGAACTGGCATGAGATATTTGATTTTGTACGTCAGCTGACAGAAAGATTTGTGAGGTGCGTGGTGCTGCCGGGGTGATGCTGTGGTGATTCTGGGCTGTGTTAAACACCCCTCCCGTGCTTTTGCAAGCTTAGGGGATGTTCACAAACACCATAAAGTTTGGCTTCTAAGACCCCAAGTGCTGGAAAATATTGGAAACTTGCACTTTATTTTCGTGCTTGGAGCTCAGCGAAAAGGTGGTAATATGCATCTTTAAATATTTAGCCTCTAAAATTACTCTTAAGATGTGATTTGATAGTTTTTTAAACTTCTTTTTCCACAAGCCACGTGCCTCATTTCTGATGGAGTACTGTTCATATGCCGCATTTGGAGATCTTTATAAAGCAGCAGGTCTCTCTATGTGTAAATATATGGTGCAGATCAGAAGGAAGAGAACAGTGTTAAACCTCAAACCCAGAGGGAGCCCATGCCATGTAACAATGTATTTGTTGTACATACCTGTAATCAACTTTGCTACTGCCAGCAGTGTTGTCTGGCAAGTCCTTCTCCCGTTGAAACGGCTGCTGTGAAACCCGACTGACTGAGGGTTGCTGGGTTGCAGCATTTTGCTTTAAAAAAAACTCACAACAAAACTCAGAATAAACCAAAGGAATCCTCCAATACACAGGCAGAGATACTGTGGTAGGTTTCGTTAAGGAAAACAGTGCAGTGTGCAGTTGTGATCTTGGCTTGCTAATAAAGGGATACAGTTAGGCTTATATAATTAAACACTGCTTATTTTCATCTTGTAAAAGCAAATCTTTAAACTTCTGTAAAACTTCTGTCGAGAGGGACAACAGAAACTTTCAAAAGTTGTTTTGTGAGCTCTAGAGTTAAAAAAAAAATGTAAAAATAGAGCCTGAGGAGATACTGAAGCAGCACTTCTTTGGACTAAGCGGTAAAACATTTGCCCTCCCTGAGAAGTATGGTGCTGGTTCAGTGGAAGTCTTTCAGTTCAGCATCTTCTCCAGCCAAGTGACACTCCCTCTTGCAACAGTTGCATGGAGGTCTGCCAGTGTCCCGAGGAGCAGAGCAGGGATGGGATGGCTCACGGAGAGGATTGTTCTGTGGTGGCCTAAAGAGAAGTTGGCTAAAACATAACTTGGAGGTTATTGCACACAGAGTTGCATCTCAAACAGCGAAGTCTCACAGTAATCACTGGGCAATGATGCAACTACCACAGATTGAGTTTGCAAGTATTTTGCAACTAGAAAGATAGATAATCCCATGGTTTCGATTCTGATTTAATTTAGGGCATCTCAGAATTTTGTGGATAGACTGCAAGGATGGATCCTAAATCCAAGGTCTGTGCAATTCTGTGCAGACTTGCAATACTTACATTCCCATGATGTCAAATAATTTGAAGTTGCATCATTGACGTCAGTGAACTGAAAACGTAGGGTCGTTCAGCTTTACAGGTGTTATGTCCTTATGAACATGAACCTGATTAATTAATGCTGATACATATATACAGTGAATTATGAAGTTACTGAACGTATTGGAATTGTAATGAATAAAAATTAAAAGCAAGTAGGAGAAATGTTACAAATTACCTTAGTAAAGTTCCTGTCTTGGGCTTTCAGAGCATCAGGCAGTTCTTAAGCATTTTCCACTGCTAACTGCATGATTCTCTGTAACCTTGTTCAAAGAGACAGGTTAGCTTCTTAAAAAAAGATTGAACTCCTTGATAAAAATCAATTCATACAGTATTGCATTTTACTGTGACATTTCCCTGGATACTTTTAGGGAAGTTGATTGCCAGTCTCACAACTCTGTCACCGAAACAAAACCAGACTCACTCTGGAAGAGTTTACATGCTGCTTTTTTGGGGCTGAGGCAGTCATCAGGCACTGGTTCTGTGACTGGAGTGATTTGATGACCAAAGAGCACAGTTGGAAATTGATAGTGTGTCAGCCTGGAAAAAAAGGGGAAATGTGTCTGTGGTTAATACCCAGAGAGCAGGGGGAATTCTGCATCTGTGACCCTGGCTTTGTGTTACACCAGCGACAACAATACCCAAGGAATGTGCCTTACCTTCTCTGTGGGGAGAGATCATATCCTGGGAATTCACTGGACTCTAGTTGAGTGAGAGAGAGTAGCAATTCTGCTACTTTGTTCTCAAAGCACCTGAGTAAGGAAAAGATGGGCAGAAATCTTTTAATTCCTCTCATTTTGTGTTTGTAGTTCAAAAGGATGTTCCTAGGAAGCTGGAGGGTAAAGATGATGTGAATGAAGCCTGAACAAGCGAATGAAATGCTGTGCAGCTGTACGTTTCTCTGACATATATTTTTTCCCTCTTTCCCTTTTCTAAAGCCCCAAGATGAGATTATCGTTTATCGTGTTTTCCACCCAGGCACACGTCATCATGCCGCTCACTGGAGACAGGTTAGTGCACTGCTTTTAAATTCCCCCTCCATCCCCCCAAGGGCTCTTACTGAACCAGAGGAGCAGTAACAGAACAACAGCTGATACCTCTAAGTGGTGGCTAGTC